TCTCTGAGGGCAAATAATTCTCCAGGGCCTGTAAAAGGTGAGCAGTACATGGCTTCTCAATCAATTCTATTCCCTTCCCTCATTTATAGGAACAAATGAAGTTCAGGGGCAAAGTCACAGAAAGAAACAGATGATAAGGGATGAGTGATAGCTCTCTCACTTGGACTGTGGTGCCAAAGCTCAATCATTCTGGCAGTTTCCCCAAAGGTCAAACACGAAGTTACCATATGACCCAGCAACTCCACTCCTAGGCATGTACCTAAGAGAAATCACAATGTATATCCACAGAGAAAAGTTTACACAAAGGTCTATAGCTGCCCTGTTTATAGCAGCTAGAAACTGCAAACAATCCAAATGGCCTTCAACCGAGGGACAGATAAACAAAATGATGCATGCATACACTGAGTATTATTTGGCAATAAAAAGATACAAAGTACTGGCATGGTATAACATGCATGAACTTCAAAAATGTTATGCTAAATACCCTGGCTGCTGTGGCTCAGTGGATTGAGCACCAGCCTGTGAACCAAAAGGTTGCCTGGTTGATTTCTAGGCGACATTCCTCAGGGAACATGCCTAGGTTGCAGGGCAGGTCCCCGATTTGGGGCATGTGGGAGTCAACCTATCTATTTTCTCTTGCACACTGATATTTCTCTCCCTCTCTTTCTCCCTTCCTTTCCCTCTCTCTCTAAAAATAAGCAAATAAAATCTTTAAAAAGATATTATGCTAAGTAGAGGAAGTCAGTCACAAGGGACCACAAACTATATATGACTCCATTTACATCAAATGTCTAGAGCAGGCAGCTTTATGGGGACAGAAATTAGGCTGGTGGTCACCTGGCGTGGGAGCGTAGTGACCACTAATGGGTACAGGGTTTCTTTGGCGGTAATGAAAATGCTCTGAAAGGAGAGAGTGATAATGGTGGCCCAGCTCTGAATGGTGTATTTTATCAACAACTATTGCAATTGAAAAAATAAAAAGCTCATACAACAAGCAAATCCTTCTGCAGTTTGCAGAGAGAGAACAGGGGAAAAGGCTGCAGCCACTGGGTCTCCCTCGTGGAAGGAGGCGCGCAGCCCAGCTCGCTCAGGGACACCCAGGCTCTGCAGTGAGCCCCGCACCCGCCCCTCCACCCTTGCCCCACTTGCTCCAGCCGGCCGTGTTTTATCTTCCCTCATTCAACAGACTCTGGCTGAGCAGCTACTTGCAAGCAGGGAGCTACGCCAGCTGCGACCTGCAGATGAGGGCTGAGCAGGCTTTGCCCTCAAGGAGCTGCCACTTCCACAAGTACACATTCAACCCCGGGTGGAAAGAGCAAAAGGAGAGCCCTGGGTGCTATTCTGTTGCGGGATGTGGGCAGAGAAGAATTTTTCGTGTCTGGGTTACAGAAGTGTGGGCTCATACCCACAAGGAAAAACCACACACAGGTCTGGTATGCAAATACCTCAAAGGCGGGCAGGGCGGAGTGCTGGGGGCGGGGGAGCCCCAGGCGTCAGATCTGACAGGAAGCTGAAGACACAACACCCCCGGGCCGCGAACCAGGGCCAGCCCTGCCCTGCAGTTCCATCCGGCAGGGGCCCTGGGGGTGCCTGCACTTTGTTTATTTTTGTACAGGGAAGAGGAGATGGGGGAGGAGAGAACACAAGTTATTACTCAGCATTTCCATCGTGTTTCATGTTTGCAAAGCACTCCTGTCCTCACTTAGTCCTGAACGGCCTGAAATAATAAAGGAATTTCAGAACCCAGCCAAGAACTCGCAGTACTTAGCAGATGTAAGAACCCATCACTGCATGGGGCAAGGCGGGCAAGAGCAAAAAACTTAATCCAACAAAATAAATACTATTTTAAAAATTAATCCAAAACAATAACCTCTGTAAAGCTGATGACATGCCTCTGCATGATGCATGAACACAGGAAGATCACATACTAAATCTGCCCGGTCACACCTTGACACAGACATGTCCGCTTTTACAGAACAGGCACTGATGTCCTTCTTTGAGATGACAGAGTCCCATGGCTGCCATGATAAACATTTTATGGCAGCAATGAACAAAAAAACCCATTTCCTGTGGTCAGCAGACAGCTCTCGGGTCGTCTTATTAAGGATGCAGCACTGAGCCTGGGTAGGGTGGCTCAGGTGGTGGGAGCAGCGTCGCATAAACTGAAAGGTCACAGATTCGATCCCTGGTCACATCACATACCTGCGTTGCAGGTTTGCTCCCTTGTCTGGGCATGTAATGTACGGGAGGCTACCCATCACTGTTTCTCACTCACATGCATGGTTCTTTCTCTCTCTCTCTCCTTTCTTCTTGCTCAAAATGATGCAGCATCCATAATACGACCGTTTTTTTAATGTTGTACTTAAGCACTTAAGAGCAGGCACACCGCTGTGTGAGCTGCAATACACAAGGAGCGTTATGGCTTTCGAACTCAAGCTCCGGGACATATATGAAATGGATTTGTCTTGTGGGCCTGTGTTTATATTTATGGTCAGCCAAGCTCAGGGACCACCTTAGCTTGTCCGTAGAACTGTTACCTTTAGGAATGTTTTTGGGTCAACTGGGAAGCTACTCGGTAAAGTAGAAATAGTATGCACACTTAAAATTACCATGAATATGAATCTTATGAGGGCAAAGTACTTTATTTAGCTATTTCAAAAAATGTGTTGGGGTTCAAAAAAGCGTAAAAATGGAAAACGGAATTTAGAAAATGTATTTCAAAGACATCTGCTTTATTTCAGATCATCTCTCCACTCCTTCCTCCCACTCAGCAGGACAACTCAGCAAAAAAGCTAATGCACACACACTCTGAAGAGCTAACGTGGCAAAGTGAACAATTACCAGGTCAAGATCTGAAAAAGACTAAAACTCAGGAAGATGAGGCCAGGCCCTGGCCAGCATGGCTCAGTGGGCTGGGCATCACCCCACAGAGCGAACGGTCGCCAGTTTGATTCCCAGCCAGCACATGCCCGGGTCGCGGGCCAGGTTACTGGTCGGGCAACTGATGGATGTTTCTCTCCCTCTCCTTCTCCTTCCCTTCCCCTCTCTCTAAAATAAAAGAAATAAAAATAAATATTGAAAACATGATTTTAAAACAGAAAAATGAGGCCAGAATTTGGGGCGGCACTTTTCTCGGGGCACCTGCTGAGGGACTGAGCGGCACCGCAGACAGTGCCACGGGGCCCGAGGACAAAACGCCCTGGGACGGCCAACGAGCTGGCGGCCGTTCAGGCAGAACAGACTCAGGAGGCGAGCACCGCTCTGGAGAGCGCTAAAGAAAAAAGGGCTAACCAGCAGAAATGCAACGTCGGGATTGTTTCATGTGACAACGCCCCTAAAAACAGGCCTGAGAACGTGTGAAGCAGAGACGAGGGTCGCCATGAACTGACACACACACGGCCGCCTGGGGGAGGATGAAGGCAGCTCTCTCAGTACCAGAAACAACAGAAAAAGTCAGCAGATAGCAAAGTAGAAAAAAAAAATGACACAGAAATCAGAATCTAGCTGTCATCTACAGAACTTTCCACCCAATGATCCTAAAATATATACTTTTTTCAAGCCTACAGGAAGGGTTTTAAAAAACAAACACTAAAATGTGCCTTTTACCTGTACCATGGAAAAATCTGTGTTCACAGAAAGCACATAGAGTGGATTAACCTGGCCCCTGACACTGAGGTATGGGACCCAGTGCGAGGTTTGAGAGGACTCTGGTTTCGTTATGCAAAGCGGTCCTGAGAAGATAAAGAGATTGTCCTCAGTGTCTTGGGGACTTAGGGACGCCATGGAATTGATGTTTGGCTGGACCTGGGCTGGTGGGGATGAAGCGAGGATGGAGGAGGAAAAGCTGATGCAGGCCTCCCAGGAGCTCCTCTTCCTGCCCCCCGGGGCTGCAGACCCCCTGAATCCTGGGAAAGGAGAAGCAAAACTGCAGAGCTCCAGCCCCCTGCTAGGCAGGGGCGGATGGGGGACAGGGCAGTGACAGCGATTCTGCTGTGCAGCCAGGCCGCTGACAACTTTTTATGGCCAAGCCCCGCTTCCTCAGGTCTCCTCTTCCTGTCCTGCCCCTGCGTGTCCTGGCTCGGAAGCTGCACGTAGATTCTGGATGAGCACCTTTGCCATCTGACCGTGCCAAGCTCGTGCATGGGGCCGGGCCCTGCAAATCCAGACTTCCTGCCCTGGCAAGGCTCGCCCTAGGAGAACAGTCTTCTCAGCTGCCCACCCCCCCCCACGCCGCCCGTTGCTGTCCCAGTCTTCAGAGAACACATGGGTCCTAAACATGGCTCTTTGCTTTGATCTTCAACTTCAGTAGCCTGGATACATGTTTCTTGTGCTCCAGGGGGTTGGGCTAGACATGGGCATACGCGAGGCCTGCTAGGATTTGGAGAGCATGAGCTGGCGCTAGCAGGCCAGGGTGGGTGGGCACAGACATTATCTGTGCTTTCTGGACCAACTGGGAGTCCCAAGTCCTGCCCTAACAGCCCACTCACTGTTGCCTGGAACCGCCTTCCTTGCCCGTCCTCGTGGCGGGGAGTAATTCTCGCAGGCCTCCCAGACCGCGGCCGTCCTCCTCGAACCCTCTGCCAGACCGCGGCAACCCCTGGGAGCCGCCCCTCGCTGCTCTCCAGGCCGGCAGCATTTAGCGCTGCTAGAAAGAGCCACTTAATCCGCAGGGCTTCCCTGGAGCCCCTGCCAGCCAGCGCCCTGCGTGTCTGTCCCGAGCCAGCCCTGCATCTGGTCCTTCTGCCACCAGTGCTTGAGCCCAACAAAGTCACATCCTTTTCTTCTGGTGACCGGGCGTGTTTGCACTCACGCACTCAGCTGGCTGTTTAGAAATCACCCTCAGTGTGAAATCGTATCACCTAAGGACTTCCGGCAATTTTCACCAGCACCCCCCTTCAGGAAGTGGAGCCCGTTGACGTTTACTCCAAGTGTCTTAGCAATAAGTCGCTGCCACCCGTTGCCCCTTGCGCCCCGTCGGGCAGAAGGCCGTCCGGACTCACCCTCATGCATCTCCAGGATGTGAACCGTGTCTCCGATCTGCAGGGAGAGCTCCACATCTTGAGAGGCATTGTAGTTATAGATCGCTGGGAATGAGAAGCAAGAGGAAAGCGACATCAGTGGCAGTGAAAATGCTGGTCACTCAGCATCCTGTTCTGTGGTTAGCGAGCTAGTTAATCAACTAATTACCCTCTTCTTCATGATTTTGCGTGAGCCACCCACTGAGAAGCAGAGAACACCCTCCCGGACCAGTTCCTGGCATTTCACTGAGATTCCACCACCCAGCAAGTCCTGGCTGCTGGTCCACTGTGTGTACGTGTAGCGTTAGAGACCAGGGCTGGGTGACAAAACACACAGGCATGCCCCCTGTCCCAGGGATTTTTATTGTCTTCCAGGGGAAGAAAGATATTAAATATATTAGTACAGAAATAATTACTTAAAATTATTATGAGAGTTATGAAAGGAAAAAACCAGGCTACAATAAGAATACACTGTGGGGTTTTGCTGGCCAGTCCCCTCATTCATTCAGACGACAACCAGCCTACACCACCCCCGGGCTATGACCGTGGGGACGGAGGGTATGCCATCTCCCAGCTTCCTGGACAGAGACGGGTCGCCAAGGGCCACATGGGAGTCCCATACACCCTCCAATGACGGACTGGCACAGAGTGCAGTGCCAGAGACGGCCATCTCGTCCTAGGCACCCTGGAGAACTCGGCTGCCCCAGCACTTCCAATCAAGGTGACTTCATCACCATGGCCCTTAGGGCCGGCAATGACCGGGCCAGTCTGTGAACACAGTGAACGAACCCTTAGAACTCAGAGAGAAAAGACAACTCAACTTTCCGATGAGTAAAGCTCTGAAGGGACATCTGACCAAGAATCATAGATGACGGCTGGCGAGCACATCAAAAGCTGCTCCGCAGCATTGGTCACCAGGGACACGCAGATCAAAACCACGAGCTGCCAACCCACACTTGCTACAATGGCTGAAGCTTCCGAAGGCTGACGGCTGGCCAGGACGCGGAGAACTGAAACCCTCATGCACTGGTGGTAGAAGAGCAAAATGACAAGCCCCTTCAGAAAAGTTTGGCAGTTTCTTAAAAATCTAAACATCAATTTGCAGTACGACCCAGCCATCCCACTCCCAGTCACCTGCAAGAGAAATGAAAACATGCCTACATAAAAACCATGTGAATAGTCGCTGCTGTGGCGGCCAGAAAAGGGGCCCCTCAGAGGTGTCCCGTCATGTTTCTGGACCTGCGACTGTTATCTGGTGCGGAAAGACCCTGAGTAGGTTAAGGATCTTGAGAGGAGAAGCTTTTTCTAGATTATCAAGATGGGCCCTGAATGCTACTGCCTGCAGCCCGGCAAGAGAAAGGCAGGAGCTTCCAGAGGCACAGCGAGAAGGCGCTGTGAAGGCCGAGGCAGAGAGGGGAGCCACGTGACCTCAGCCCAGGCCCACAACCCCCGGCAGCTGGAGGAGCAAAGATGAACCTGCAGAAGCAGCGCAGCCTGCCAGCTCCTTGGTTTCAGACTTCCGGCCTCCAGATCTGAGATGATGCATTCCTATTGTTTCAAAGCCACCTGTAAGGCTGTCTAACCACTATGCTGCACACCTGAAACCAATGCAAAATCAGATGGATAAAGTTTGTACGGTTTTCTATATACACTACCATGTCATTTACAACAAGTGACACTTTTACTTCATCCTTCCCAGTTTGGGTGTCTTTTATTCTTTTCTCTTGCCTGACTGCATTGACCTCCAGAGCTGTGTTGAGTAAGAGTGGGGAGAGCGGGCGTCCTCGTCTTGTTCCTGACGTCAGAGGGAAAGCTTTCAGCCTTTCCCCACTGGGTGCGACACTGGCTGAGGGTTTGCCGTACGTGGCCTTTGTTATGTTGAGTTACTTTCCTTCTATTCACATTCATTTTATTGTTTTAATCATGAATTGATGTCTTATCTTATTAAATGCTTGTTCTGCATCTATGAATAAGATCATGTGATACTTGTCCTTTGCTTTGCTATTGTGGTGTATTACCTTGATCAATTTGTGTATGTTGAACCATCCTTGTGCCCCTGGAATTAACCCCAAGTTAATCATGATGTATTATTTTGTTAATGTGTTGTTGTATTCAACTTGCTATTTTTGTTAGTAATTTGTTAGTAATGTACTGTTATATTCAATTTGCTAGTTTTGCTAGCAATGTATTGTACTGGATTTGCTAAATTTAATAATGCTACAAAGCATTATTAAAGAGATTGAAAAAGACACAATGAAATGAAAAGATATTCCATGTTCATGGATTGGAAGAATCACCCTAGTAAAAATGGTCATATTACCCAAAGCAAGATACAGATTTAATGCACTCCCCATCAAAATCCCAATGACATTTTAAAAAAAGAAACAGAACAAAATATCATCAGATTTGTATGGAACCACAAAAAACTGAATAGCCAAAACAATCCTGAGAAAAAAGAACTCAGCTGGAGGTATCACACAACCTGACTTCAAATTATACTACAGAGCTACAATATCAAAACAGCCTATTACTGGCAGAAAAACAGACACACAGACCCATGGGACAGAATTGAAAGCCAAGAAATAAAACCACAAGCATATGGGCAAATAATTTCCAACAAGGGAGCCAAAAACACACAATGGAGAAAAGAAAGCCTCTTCAGTAAATGGTGCTGGGAAAACTGCAAAGCCACATGCCAAAGAATGAAACTAGACTACAGTTTGTACCCATGTACAGGAACTAATTCAAAATGGATCAAAGACCTAGATATAAGATCTGAAACAATAAATTACATAGAAAAAAACATAGGTACTAAACTTATGGGCCTTTGTCGTGGAGAACATTTTAAGAATTTGACTCCAAAAGCAAGGGAAGTAAGGCAAAAATAAATTAACGGGACGACATCAAACTAAAAAGCTTCTGCACAGCAAAAGAAACTGATAACAAAACAAAAAGGTAACCAAATGAATGGAAGATGGTATTTACAAACAACAGCTCCAACAATGGGTTAATATCCAAAATATATAAAGAACTAATATAACTCAACACAAACAATCCAATTAAAAATGGGCAGAGGATCTGAACAGAAACCACTCCCAAGAAGACATACAAATGGCCAATAAATATATGAAAAGATGGTCAACTTCACTAGTTATCAGGAAAATGCACATCAAACTACAATGAGATACCACCTCACACCTGTTAGATGGCTACTGTCAATGAGACAAGTGATAACAAGTGTTGGAGAGGTTGTGGAGAAAAGGGAACCCTCATGCACTGCTGGTGGGAATGTAAGCTGGTACAGCCACTACGGAAAACAGTATGCAGGTTCCTCAAAAAATTAAGGATAGAGTTACCATATGACCCAGCAGTCCTCTTTTGGGTACCTATCTGAACAATTCAAAAGCAGTTATTCACAAAGTTATATGCACGCCATCTTCAATGTAGCATTATTCATGGCGGCCAAGACATGGAGACAACCAAGTTGTCCTTCGACAGAGGTTTGGATAAAGAAGATGTGGTATATCTATTCTATGAACTACTACTTAGCCATAAGAAAAGATGCAATACTGCCATTGCTAACACACAGATGGACCATGAGAATATTATGCTTAGTGAAAGGAGTCAGGCAGAAAAAGCTAAGAGCCATATGATTTCACTCATATGTGGAATATAAAACTGAAATTCATAGACACAGAGAACAGTTGGTGGTTATGAGAGGGAAGGGGGTGGGGGTTAGTAAAGGGTAAAGGTAACAAATATCTGTTGACAGAAGGTGATTTGACTGTGGGTGGTGGGCACTCTGTACATTATCCACATCATGTATCACAGAAATGTACACTTGAAACCTGTGTTATCGTATTAACCAATGCCACCCCAATAAATTTATAAAAAATAATATTGAAAGTAAACTATAATTGGGAAATTAAAATTAAAAAATAAATAAACTCACCTAATTTTTAACCCTTTGTTGTAACAGCCAATATAGCAATATTATTCACAACAGCCCAAAACTGGAGACAATTCATTAACTGATAGATAAATGGATAAATGGACAGGGTATGTCCATACAATGGAATATTACTCAGCAATAAAAAGGAACAAAATACAAACACATACTACAATGTGGAGGAGTTTCCAAATCATTATGCTAAATGAGAGCCCTATGAAAAAAACATATTTTAGGCTTCCATCTATTTGCGATGTCCAGAGTAGGCAACAGGAGAGCAGGTCACTGGCTGCCTGGTGCGGGGGTGGGAATGATGACTGAGTTCAGCAGGGGCTAGCGGCTGGTGGAAACATCCTAATCCTGGACGGTGGCGGCGGCAACTCAACCACGTAAGTCTACCAAAATCATTGGACTGCAGACTTCAAATGGGTGGATCTGACAGGATGTAAATGAGACCTCGATAAAGACTTTTTTTTTTTGAAGTAATTACATCTATGTCTTGGCCTTACTTCATGAGTGATCTGCATCCTCCCAGGGAAAAATAACCAAGTGAGGGACTCAGTTCTAACCGTTTACCCAACAACCCAGGGAGCCTACAACACCGCCCATCTTGCAGCTCCGATAAGCACAAGGTAGTCGCCAATCCCAGGAGGGTGATTAAAAAGGGTCACTGGGGCAAGCAGCTCACCCCTTCTGAGTTTCAGTTTCCATATTAAATAACGTGGCACATGGCAGCCCCTGCACCATCCCTGCCACTGCCGCCTGTGGGTACTACTGCTCCTTCCTGAGCTGCAACACATCCTGCGTCTGCAGCACGGCCGGGGGCTTTCCCCCGCATCGCAGCCACTGTCTGGGGGTGAGTGGGAGGGGCATGCCTCCAGCCCAGCGGCTTCCAGTGGCCTCTCTGTTTTATGGGAACCACCCAGTGTTCTCCTGCAGTCTTGGCACAGAAGCCTGGGCTCATACGTTAGAACTGATTTACCACTGAGCTAGCTTTGGAACTATACTGTGAATCAGAACTGGGATGCGCTGATGAAGTGGGCTAGGAGGAACTGCACCAAATTCAGAAGTAGAGCCAGGTCCTCATGTCTAGACCTTTCCATGGGCCACCATGAGC